ACACACACACACACACACACAGACGAACACACACACACACACACACACACACAGACGAACACACACACACACAGACGAACACACACACACACAGACGAACACACACACACACACAGCAGAAGGACAGGGACGGGGACAGAAAGAGATAACGGTTAGATTTTCAGCATCAGTCAGGTCGCCCTCAAGTTGTCTGAATGCCTTGGCCACGCTGATCTCATCAACCTCCATTTGCCGGCCTCCAACTGAGCGGTTCAAATTGAGCGGGCATGGCAGGAGGGAAGGAACTCGGCCGACACGACAAAAGACAACGCATGGAGTCAAATGTCAGCTTTAATAATCGTTTGCCTCTTCTTCGCCACAACAACACCGATTTAAACCAGAGTGGAATTAATTAGCACCGGAGCGACGAGGCATAATTAAAACCCAAGTAAAAAGAAGGAGAACTCTGCTTGTGTTGGCAAACATGTCACGTGCGGCGCGGCCTCTGAATGGTTAAATCCCCGACGTGGGTCTCTCTCTCTCTCTCTCTCTCTCTCTCTCTCTCTCTCTCTCTCTCTGGATGTCAGCGCTATACCTACCACGTTGCATAATGGCTGGGAGTTAAGGTTATCAGAGACTGCGGAGGAGGAGCTGGAGTAAAAGAAGACAGGGTTCAATAATTAATGCTGAGGTCTATGCAGGCCTCACTCTTCACCCTCTCCAGTCTGTAATGAGATGAGCGGAGGGCCAGAGGGAAGGAGGGAAAGGAGAACGGGGTGATTAAAGCGGCCAGCTCAGCCTCATCTACCTTCTCCCCCCCACCCCCCTCCATCAGTCAGACGCCACACACACGAACACACGAACACACACACACATTTATAAACACCTGGAGTGTGTTTCCTCTCACCTCCGCACACTGCTGGCAGGGAGCAGAGCTGAATAAGCATGAGTAAAGGTTAACAAAGTAGTGAGACACTGGAAACATCTGATAATTCATTCAGGTGACATGGAAACCGCGGATGTACTCGCTTCTGTAAGTAATCTAAGGCAGCCAACTTTGTGGCATCCGTGACTCACAGACTGCAAGCGGCCACAAAAAATGTATTATGAAAAAAAAAGTATGTCTTCATATCCAAATTATAGAGTTTTACAGACAAAAAAAAGATTTTAAACATAGCCTGCAGTTCAGATTAATTGTTCCGACGCTGCATTGCTTTCGATAACGCAATTAGCTGGATTAAGTGTTAAGTAGTCTCACTGTTAGAAGCCAGACATGCACACATCTCAGATAAGGGTAAAAGCTGTTTGTCACCAGTTTCACACTGCATCAACGGTGGCTTCACCGCTCAAACAAACCTATTTTATCAAACTATACAGCTAGCAGCTCAGAGGCTGTTCTAATGCTGCATTCATGCAATGTTGAGGAGAACAGAAAAACCTCCCTTTATTCCATCTGTGTTCACACACAAGTCGGTTCCTCCTACTGCTAGCTTTGCAGTTATAAATTAGCCATTGCTATATGCTAACGCCATCCAAAGCCAACAGGCTTCCGGTGTCAAAGTTAACATGCTAATGTTTAGCAGATATAGTTTGGCATGATAGCCAAATTAGCCTGTTAGCAAGCTAACATTTGTTAATTAGACAACCAGTAAAAGACAAAGTTGATGGAAATGGCATTCATTTGCAGGTATTTGGTCATAAATTGGAGGAATTTAAAAAAATTGGACATGAAAAGTGTACCGCTAACGTCTGTTTGCAGGCTAGGTAGCCAGTTAGCTGGTCAGCAGCAGCACATTGAACAGCATGTAAACGAACATGCACATGTCAATTTGGTCAGTTTGGGTGCCACTGTGCTCCTTCCTTCATGACAATGCTATTGCTGTCTGCCAAAGTTTGTTTCACACATGAGAAAATAACTACAACCAAAAAACACTGACATTATGCAAAAAGGGGCTGACTAAATGCGACCAGTTCAGTTGGACTTTAAACCCACGAATGTCAGCCTCCTGGTGGCGCTAGAGGAAAGGTCATGAGGATTCATCCTCTGGGGACCATGAATACCAGCACATTTCATATTCCATACAATAGGCTAGTAGTTGAGATATATCAGTTTGGAAAATTGTTCAACTTTAAAGAAGCACATCACATTTAAACAGGTTCTGTTATTTATGTATTCTTATATCTGAAACATTTCATACCATAACGGCAGCAAGGGGACGTTAAAGAGATGAGAAATACCTCGCCAAAGGGCTGCAGGTACATGCACACTGACAGCCAATTATTCGAAAATATTTAATTTCATTAAACAGAACTGTTTATCTAATCTGAGGGAAAATTCAGAGCCCAGAAAGTACAGAGAAAGATTTTCAAAGAGTCGCATAATTTCCACTTCCATTGCTGTTAAAATGTGACTCATCCACCCATTCGTCACAGTGTTCCAGGGCTTTAAAGTGATTACGCAGAGAGTGCTTTACCAAACCCAGCGCTCCACTCGGGAAAAAATAATAACAAACCTTCCAGCTTTCTAGGCTCTATACTGAACCAGGACCAAAACTGAAAATACATTTAGACATTATTTGGGATTATACGAGGCCAACTTCACCTGCCAGCGGGCTTAAAGTGAACCAGTACGTTTCTTATTTAAGCCATATACAGTAAAACAAAAAGCAAGTGGAATCTAACAAAGAGAGTGCTGCATAGTTGTACCACATGAAATTAAGTGACTAATGTCTCATAAGTCATGTGACATCACATTTGGATGTTCTTTTCTTCCTCGTTTTTCTGGCAGACACCCACAAGTGTTCACGTTCCATTTGTCTTCTAAAGGTGGAGCTCATGAAATGGTGTCGCCATGAGATGGCGCTTGATTTGTTTGCAAGTATGCAGATATTGAATCAACATGACTCTTTCATGTGGCAACTTCGTTGACAGTCACAGAGCCTGTGCTTTGCTTAAACCTACGTGGCTGGATCCCAAATTTGCACCAACAATGTGATCTCAAAGCTCTCATTAATTAGGTTGGCCTACAAAAACACGTCATCCCTGCACTACTCGATTACATAGAGACAAGGCAGATCTGCATTCACCTTGCACGGCAGATTGATTCTTTAAAGAAGTTAGCGAAGCTGCTGCAACAGCATCAGTAATATCAGAGAATATCGCTTCATCGAAAGAAGGACAGACAACGGGACTGAAGGCTTTTCTAACTTTTGGCAAGAGTTTGATTGACAGATAGTTCATCCAATCAACAGTTTCCATCGTCGGCTTCTGAGATAGTTTCATGTACCAAACATGTGGTGGGTCAGGTTGGATCTGCATGGGACTTAAAGAGCACTTAAATCTAAAACGGAATATGTAGCACAAAGATACAACTGTCAATCAATCATAACGTCTCCAAAAAGGTTACATTCCATGTCAGCATATTTGTACGGGTTTATCCGTTTCACCAATGCATAAACCTACACCACAACATCAGTGGAGCCATGTGGATCCTCCTGACATGAAGGGACCATGTCTACTTCCATCTCTATGGGAAAGAACTTCATTTGAGGATGTTCTCCCTGCTGAGCTTCATTAAGCCAGCCTTGGGTTTCAGCTTAATTGTCTCTGCACGTGCAGAGCATCCTGACAAACACCATCAGCATCCGAGCATGTAATGGATTGAGGAGAGTCCCTCAGACAGACAGAGGGATAGCAGGTGTCGCCGGTGCTCTGGCGTGCACTTTTGCTGAGCGTAAATAAAAACGACAATGACGCGGGGGTGATGTGTTCGCTTTGACACGCGCAGCCTCGAGTTCAGGGCTGACTGAGCTATTTCACAGTAAAACAAAGATGATCTAAGCATGTACCCAGTGCACCGTTAACACGACCAACTGCTAATCCAGCCGAGGCAAATGGAGGAGATTCTGCTCTCAAATTTTCCCCGTTTCAGATGTGAATTTCAACCCTCCCTGAAGCTGGGTTTATGAATGACGAAAAAGGGGCACGGTAAATAAAGATATCAGCTGTGCTGGTTCCTGGATGGAATCCAGGGTGTTAGCAGGAGAAGTGGAGTATTGATCAGAGGCAGGATTAGCTGGCCCAGCATGCAGCTAAATCAGTAACTGCCCTGAAGACTGACAGAGGCAGGAAAACAACAGCAGCCGTGTAACACAGTAAGTATAGCTGGAGCATTTTAAAGCAAGGCACGGCCGTTTTCTCTTCCAACACGCCTCGGAAACATTCAAAGAAAGAGCAGGAAAAAAATGAACTCTGGCTACTTCATCTGCTGAGATAGTGAAGGCAATATCCTATTGTTGTCCAAATCAATTTCCAATTGTTGGGTATGTCGACTGTATTGAGTTCACTGATGTGCAACTGGACAAGATTTCTCAGTGTGTAACAATGTCTTGTGCAGCTTTAATACAGAAAATGTCTCCTTGTATTATAAACACAAAGATGCAAAACATTCAGTGAAGAGAAACCAACGCTCGCTTTGAAATTATGAGCATTTGGTGAGTATTAAATAGCATTTCAATCAGGGGCCCGCTTCACTGCAGTGATATGACTCATCTTCCTGTCTGTTCTCCACTCCCGTCCCCTGGTCATCCCATTGTCTGCACCTCACCATTGTTTACATCTCTCCCTGCCTCCCTCGTCTCTCCTTTCTCCCCCATTCCTTTCCTTGTCCACATCTCGCGGCGCACGAGGAGCCTGATTGCGGCACATCTCCTGAACTAATAGGGGTAGTCACATTAGCCTGGCAGGAAACGCCATGATGGAAATGCTCAGTCAATTACTGGGCGACGAATAAACAACCCTTCTGTCATTTTTTCCGACTCATTGGGGCTAATGGTTGCGATGCGCAGTCGCTATCTGCTCGGGGCATCTTATCAACGTCTCCCGGAGGAACTGGGCAACATGCTCGCGGTCGGTAGTGTCATTGTGTGATGTTTGGGTTGC